CATATTATACTGATTTCTGAAGATCATGTGACACTGAAGACTGGAGGAATGATGCTGAAAATACAGCTGCGCATCACAGAAATACATTATATTTTAAAATATATTAAAATAGAAAGCCATTATTATAAATAGTAATAATATTTTACAGCATTACAGTTTTTTCTGTGTTTTTGGTCAAATAAATGTAGCCATGATAAATTTGTCCTTAAGGGGAAAAATTTTCCTTTTTTTCCCCCAGAGAAAAAAAACTAGAACCAAGATTGGAAAAATTGCAAAGCCACTGAATAAATAAGCTTTCCATTGATGTATGGTTTGTTACAATATTTGGCCGAGATACAACTATTTGAAAATCTGGAATCTGAGGGTGCAAAAAAATCTAAATATTGAGAAAATCATCTTTAAAGTTGTTCATATGAAGTTCTTAGCAATGCATATTACTAATCAAACATTAAGTTTTGATATATTTACGGTAGGACATTTACAAAATATCTTCATGGAACATGATCTTTACTTAATATCCTAATGATTTTTGGCATAAAAGAAAAATCATTTTGAAGCATACAATGTATTGTTGGCTATTGCTACAAATATACCCCAGCGACTTAACACTGCTTTTGTGCTCCAGGCTCACATATATATACTGTATATACATTTGCAGTAGCTCCAGATATTTCAACATGCTAATTATTGTATCATCTCCTTTCAGTGTCAGAGCTGCAGATGAAGTTCAACACGCAGAGCATGTGCCCGATCGAGGGGGAGGCCAACGTCGCTCGCTTTCTCTTCCGTCTTTTGGGTGCCGAACCCCAGGACCCGGTCGCCGCCACGCAGATGGACTGCTGGATCGACACGGCAGTTTTCCAGCTGTCCGAGGGGGGCAGTAAAGAGCGGGCGGCCGTGCTGAGGTCACTAAACGCGGCTCTGGGGCGTTCAGCGTGGCTTCTGGGTCAGGAGTTCTCTCTCGCCGACATCGTGTGTGCCTGCTGCGTGCTGCGGGCCGGCCAGACCACCTCTGCACCAGTTAACGTACAGCGCTGGCTCAAGTCCTGCCAGAACCTGGGCCACTTCGACTGCGTGTATCCGTTACTACAGTGACGAAAGCTGTGAGATCGGCGCAGGTCGTACTCTAGCTGGAAACTGATACGCCATAGTCAATTATATAATGAAAAGGGAAATGCAACATGACTTCGCCAAACACTGTAACATCCCAGAATCCAGTGTTAACTGAGCTCAGGTCTGTAATATGGAATGTTTAGAAATGACGTTTGAACTGGAGGCGATCTGAAACTGATCCCAGGCCTGGGTCATAGATGCAAACACTCAGAGAGAGGGCATTTGGGATAATGATACTGTAAACACGACTCCCTCCCGCCTTGTGCCTAATAAAACGTTGAACTAGAAGATGTTGTGTGTTGCTGTGACATAATCTATCGGGTGTTTAATGAAGCCTTTGAAATTTGAACCCAAGGACCTACTGGTATGTGACGGATGAGAGGTGATACTTTGTAGCTCAAAACCTAATAAAGATTTTCATTTCGGGTTAGACATTTACCGACTGATTTTTTTCCTTCACCTAATACATGTATAATATAGAATGATATGCTGTTATGTTTCTGAGTGGTAGACAAGAGGATGCACTTTTTTCACACACACAAAAACCCCAACCTATTACAGTTTTTCCTTTTAAAAAGTAAAAAACTACTAAGAATGAATACTTTTATTACCCAGGAACGCATTAAATTGATCAGACAGAGAGAATAAGTGTTTTTGAACATTATTCATGAGAGTAATAAATGCATCACAGTTTCCACAAAAAATATTAGGCAGCACAACTGTTATTAAGAAGTGTTTCTTCACTGATTTCTGAAGATCATGTGACACTGAAGACTGGAGCAATGATGCTGGAAATTCAGCTTCGCATCACACGAATAAATTACAGTTTAAAATATATTACAATGTAAAACAGCTGTTTTAAATTCTAATAATGTTTTACTGTTTTTACCGCATTTTTGATTAATAAAAGCAGTCTTCAGCATTAGCGACCTTTCAAAACAGTTCAATGTTATGTCAAACATTGTCGTTTTTATGTCAAAAAACATAAAAAAATCTTACCAACCCCAAACTTTTGAAGGGTAGTGTAGCTTTCAGAAGTTGTAGCTTCATTAGACTACTAAGCAAAACCATTGTAGTGGGAAACTAGATAGAGCTTTATATAGAATTATAAAAAAGGAACATTAGGCAAAATTAGCATTTGATTTCTTACAATCAAAATGGCCCAATCAAAGAAGCTGTGATACATGATGTAGCCTGTAGGTGCCATACAGCACCATCCTCAACAACTCAAACCGCCGAGTTAAATTTCAGTTCATTTCCCTTCAGGCAAAAATCATTTTAATTTCACAACTCTCGGATCTTTCCTCACTCACACGGGAAAGAATTAACACTCTACACAGCTCGAATAACACTTTATCAAGGTGAAAGGTTTAAAAATGTAATGACTGGGATCCTAAATTGACATCTCTACAACCTGGAACCCAGAATGTAACCACATATTTTCATCTAAAGTCAGATTGAATGAGGTTCATACCAGTACGTACTGAATCACTAAGCACACTAAGCACAGTATGCACAGATTTAGGTTGATGTGAATGGAACTACAAACCGTGCCACATTATGTTGTCTACAGTAGTATGACACTGACCTTTACAGCACATAATGATAGGCCAGTTATTATATTTTAGCAGTACAATCATATTGCTATTCCCCCCCCCCCCCCTTTAATAGAAGAACACTTGTTTTTGTTTTTCACTGAAGTGCACATTTCCAAGATAAAGAGTTTAAAGAATCAAGGATAATGTAATCAGCCCGGTGTCGACAGAGCTGAAAGTTAATGAGAAAATTCCCTATAGCGCCTTTAGGAACACATCACAAACAATGCTCAAACCGTCTATGTATGCTGTGCTTTAAGTTGAGTTATTACGCCTATAGGTCTCGACAGCTGTACCCAAGACGGTTTTATTTACATGATAGCTGTTGTGGAATATAATGGGATTCATATCTGCAGGCGAGGGATAGTAAAAATGATGCTTTGATTTCACTAACAACACTCTGCTCATCTGTGATGTGACTTGAGGGCTTAAAACTATAGTCAGTTAAGTCATGTTTTCATTAGAATTGAGAAATATCTGATTTATGGATTTGGGAAAGGCGTAGGTCTGTTTCTGGCTTCAATGCGGCGTTCCACTGTGTTATTTACACAAAAACGATGACACAAAATGTGTTCACCATATCTCCAAATAACACTTTTTTTTGGTTCTCAGAATGTTCCTCTTCCCAAAACAGAGCTGTTGAATAATCAGTTCTTTTTTTTTTATCCTTTGTTTAATCATAATCATTAAAATAGCCTTCATAATATGGATGATTAGATGAATATGTGCATGTAAGATTTTCATGTAACGTATTTAGTTCTCATCGTGTACTACACAATGTAGTATAATAGATTTTACATTTCTTTTACTGACCAGCACCCATAACGAATCATTATTAGATTCAAATTCATTTCATTGTGCAGAGTACAGTACAAAGCCAATGAATCACATTTTTGTTGCATAGCAACCATCTGTTATAACTTCTAGCGGAAGGATATCCACTTATGAATATGCTTGATAAAATAATATTAATATGAACATTTGTGTCCTTACATTTTTAATACAATAGCCCCAAAACGTAACTGGGTTCATTTTTGACATTTATTGCATGAGATAATAAATGTAGTGAGTGGCATAAATTGTGCAGATAATATTTTGCTATTGCATTTACTTTCATTAAATATGGCTTAGGTGTCCAAACACTTTACTGTATATTTTATATTTTTATATTACCAGTAAGATTTTTTTTTCTTTTGAAACAAATCAAAACTTTATTTAAGCACAGATGCATTAAATGAAATGAAAAAAATGTATCACGATTTCCACAAAAACATTTAGCAGCACAACATTGATAATAATCAGAAATGTTTCTTGAGCAGCAAATCAGTATATTAGGTCACGTGACACTGAAGATAGGAGTAATGATGCTGAAATATCACAGAAATATCACATTTGAACAGTTGCTAAATCGTAATGATATTTCACAATATTACTTTTTTATTGTATTTTTTCAGCATTGGTGAGCATGAGATTTAAGATCAAAAAATCCTCCCGACCCCAAACATTTGATCAGTCCAGTAAGATTTTTTTTTCTTTTGAAACAAATCAAAACTTTAAGCACAGATGCATTAAATGAAATGAAAAAAAATGTATAAGAAACGTTTCTTGAGCAGCAAATCAGTATATTAGGTCACGTGACACTGAAGATAGGAGTAATGATGCTGAAATATCACAGAAATATCACATTTGAACAGTTGCTAAATCGTAATGATATTTCACAATATTACTTTTTTATTGTATTTTTTCAGCATTGGTGAGCATGAGATTTAAGATCAAAAAATCCTCCCGACCCCAAACATTTGATCAGTATTTGTGACAGCAAGTATAATGTAAAACCCACATGCATAGGTCAAGGTGAAATACGCACAGAACCGTCTTTCAGTGAGTGCTTTCTAAAAGATAATGGCGTATAAAGGTCAGAGTGCTGTCCTTTGGTCCAGCTTGTCAGCAAATTCTGCCTCTCCTCGAAGAGCCTCACACTCAACCTGCAGCTTTAATTGGTGTTAACATCATGTTTTCAGGCTTATTTCACACCTACCCCTCTTCAGTTACCACAAATGCATCCTGGCAACATAATCTCAAGTGTCTTAATTTACACGCCATACATCAATATTCAGCTGTGAAGACACATGGGATTTGTCTGTGGCTATGTTATTTAAAAGATGAAATAACATATCATATCAGGGAATAACATATCAGAAGATTTTGTGTTGTCATCATCTGTTTTATAAGTTACTATTACTATTGCTTATACTTGGGTTAGGTTATTTCACCCCCAAACGCAGCTCTAAATATTAAACTACAATGTGTAACATCCCACACAGTTTGTGAAAAGACATGAATACCTCAAATCATGTAGCATGTTGAGGAGAGGTGTGCTGTTGATTCCCATGGACTTACACCAAAGGATGCACTTGTGTCTTATCAAGACACCAGAATATCATAGATACTTGGGGGTGGGCTCTTTTGATTGGGCCAGTGAGCAACCACTCAGCAACCACCAGAACACCTTAGCAACACCCTAGCAACTGCATAACGACATGCTAAAAACCTTGGCAGCTCCTTTGCTACCACCCAGATCATCTTAGCAACTGTGTAACAACATGCTCAATCACCTGTTAGATTTGCCATGGATGTTCTGTTCTATTTTTCATTTCCCAAACTACTTTTCCTATGTATGTTCTCCGGGATGCTGAAGCCTATTCTATTCTGTTCTTTATTTTCCAAACTACTTTTCCTATGTATGTTCTCCGGGATGCTGAAGCCTATTCTATTCTATTCTATTCTATTCTGTTCTTTATTTTCCAAACTACTTTTCCTTTGTATGTTCTCCGGGATGCTGAAGCCTATTCTATTCTATTCTATTCTATTCTTTATTTTCCAAACTACTTTTCCTTTGTAGGTTCTCTGGGATGCTGGATTCTATTCTATTCTTTATTTTCCAAACTACTTTTCTTTTGTAGGTTCTCCCGGATGCTGGATTCTATTCTATTCTATTCTATTCTATTCTATTCTATTCTATTCTATTCTGTTCTATTCTATTCTATTCTATTCTATTCTGTTCTATTCTATTATGTTCTGTTCTGTTCTGTTCTGTTCTATTCTATTCTCCATTTTCCAAACTACTTTTCCTTTGTAGGTTCTCCAGGATGCTGGATTCTATTCTATTCTTTATTTTCCCAACTACTTTTCTTTTGTAGGTTCTCCGGGATGCTGGATTCTATTCTATTCTATTCTATTATGTTCTGTTCTGTTCTATTCTCCATTTTCCAAACTACATTTCCTTTGTAGGTTCTCCGGGATGCTGGATTCTATTCTGTTCTGTTCTGCTCTGTTCTGTTCTATTCTATTCTTTATTTTCCCAACTACTTTTCTTTTGTAGGTTCTCCGGGATGCTGGATTCTATTCTATTCTATTATGTTCTGTTCTGTTCTGTTCTATTCTCCATTTTCCAAACTACTTTTCTTTTGTAGGTTCTCTGGGATGCTGGATTCTATTCTATTCTTTATTTTCCAAACTACTTTTCTTTTGTAGGTTCTCCGGGATGCTGGATTCTATTCTATTCTATTCTATTCTGTTCTGTTCTGTGCTATTCTCCATTTTCCAAACTACATTTCCTTTGTAGGTTCTCTGGGATGCTGGATTCTATTCTATTCTGTTCTGTTCTGTTCTGTTCTGTTCTATTCTATTCTCGCTTTTCCTAAGTAGGTTCTCAGGGATGCCACAGCCAATTCTATTAATTTTATTCTTTTCTATTTTCCAAATTCCAAACAGCTTGTCCTATTTAGGTTATAATATATTCTCTATTCTATTCTATTCTGTTCTGTTCTTTTAT